AGAGTATAAACCAGGCTTTAGAGAGAAAAAAAATTAAAGGAATTCTGTTGCAACAAACTGCTGTGCATGACCAAGACAGAATATACACTCAAACCATGTTAAGGACTCCTTTAAGTGTTATTACATAAACCACAGCAGAAATCATAGAGGGCACACAGAGTATGGCACTGCTGAGGTATTAAAGAATCCCATAGCTGCTTTAATAGTGACCTTCAGCTTACTGTATATGCATAACTGAGTGTGGCTGTGCAAATTCTCTGGGTCATGGCAACCACTAATCTGGATCTGGTGTCTCAGCTTCTTGACAATAGATTTAGATGTTAGTCCCCTACTGCCTATGCAAATTTTTAAACTTAAGTTTTTTCTTCTACTCACCTTATGAACATGGAAACAGAAATATTTCCCTTCACTGTGTCGGTTACATTTACTTTATCAAAATCCACTCCCATTGATCTGCAGTAATATTCTACATTCTCGAACCTGGATTTTATGTTTCCTTTTTTCCGGTAAACCATCAAAATGAAAAGAAACAAGAATTTGAAAAGTGTTTCCTGTGCATACTAAATCAATGTCATCTTTTAACTTTACAGTTTAAACTAATGTGCTTTAGGCGACATGAAAATGTGTTGGCTGTAAGGAGGCAGATATTAGCTGACATATTCCCCAGCCCAGACATACGAGGCTCCTTCGGTCCCTAAAAGTGGTTGGCTCTGGTGATGCTGCCAAAGGATTTAAAAACCTCCATAAGCCCCACTTCTCTTTGTCAGCAGTCCAAATACTGTGCTTTTATTCCAGTCTGAGAACTACTGAATATTGAAGTGGCTTTTGACCAATAAAGCCATTGTGTGTCCTCTCCAGTGACACATTAACAAGCACACACTCAACATGCTAATAAATCTTCTCTGGTGTGAAATTATGCACATTTCCTATCCTCCACCACTCCAATATTTTCCATTTATCATCTCTGCCTCCCTCTAACTAATTTATAAGATTTTTTCTAAGTTATTCCTCTTAAATTTTAAACACTCTTCGCCCATTTCCTTCTGCTTTTACACATCCATCATAGCTCACCATCATCAATCAGATTTTCTTTTTTCACCTCCACAGTTTAACTTTTTAATTTCATCCATCTCACACTGAAACCCAGCAGCTGCAGAATAGATGTTTTTTCAACCCAATCGCCCCAAATATGACACACGGATGTGTCTGTGCCAAAACTGGATACGAATTTCAGGAAAGATCTCCATTTTTTTCGGCTAGGTGAGTTCAGCGACATAATCAAAAATGTTTCTGCGAGGTGTCGCTGTAAATCTATTTTACCACCGTAAACGATGGAAAAACCAAAACTAGACTGACTGACACAATGTCACATTCAGAAAACAGCTGAAAAAATGTCAAAAAATAGTTTGCATTCACAACAGCATTCATTTTTATGATCAATATAATGAGCACAATTGGTAGTCCTTTTTAGTTTAGAAAAAGGTAAGACACTTTCACTAATTTGATGCAGTTAAAAATGTAAATAATTTACAATGACCTAAAATTGAAAAATGTTTGCTTTCATTTTAAACTTCTTTATCCACAGGAGCACAAACATCCTACAACTTTAACTTAAAAGTAGTCTTCAGTTCAACCTTTTAATACAATTTTTTTTTTCTTTCTTGGTAACAAGAATAAAGAAAAAATTTTTTCTGAACCAGATAAATAGGAAATAATATACCCCAAGACTTTTAGTTTTTGGTGATGAGGGAAACATAAAACCGTTTTCAGGTGTCAGATCAACAATGACTATGGATCCTTTTCGCTGAAATCAGGCTTCTCCGTTTCATAGGGCGACAGTGGCGTTGGATGTAGGAGTTTGCCCTGAAAATTGAAGGATTGATGGTTCAAGCCCCGACTCCGACTTTTAGTGTTGTTGTGTCCTTGGGCAAGACACTTCACCTGCATCGTCTACTGATGGTGGTCAAAGGGCCTGGTGGCACCAGTGTACGGCAGTCCCGCTTCTGTCAGTGAGCCCCAGGGCAGCTGTGGCTACAATGTAGCTTGCCACCATCAGTGTGTGTGTGTGTGTGTGTGTGAATGGGTGAATGAATGTAGAGTAAAGCGCTTTGGTCAAGTCTCCTGACTTGAATAAAGGCGCTATATAAGTATATGCCATTTACCATGGATCAAAATCGGTTCAGTTCCTTTTTGAGCAGGTGAAACAGAAAATGTAACCAATTAGTCCGTTTTTGGATAAGTGACAAAACATTTGGACACCACTATGCTTGAGGAGCTCAGTGTTCTGTTACAGTGATTGAAAGTCAGAATAATTACATCGTAACTTGAAAACGGACAGCGTAATGACCCGTTTTGCTAGAAACACACTGGTGAAAATCATTTGTAAGGTTTTTAACCCTTTGAATTGAGGATTATAGTGAAATAAGGACAGTGTCGGTTAATGCTGCCACCGTACTCCAAGGGTTCTGCTCTGCACTCAGGTATCTACAGTTATACTTACTGTGTTTGGGGAAACTCTACAAATGGCTGCTGGAACATTATGATGTTCAATGCAAAGGGGCAGTTTTATGAGATAAAAAAATAAGCCCCCCACCCACGGTTTGTCTGCACATGAGCAACTAAACCGGCACTGATGTATGGCACAAGCTGCATTGCCAACAAAACATATCCAAACAGAGTAAATATAATAGTGTAGCCTACCAAAACCTGCTCACATGACCTAAACATGAGCCTTCAGAGGAACATGGAGGCAATCACAGAGCTCATTAATCTGGAACTAACTCTAAGAAAACTGCAAACAAATCTGCAAAAAGAATCAAAACAGATTATAAATGGAGAGTGGAAAAAAAAAATGTCTGGGTTCTGGTACGTCAAGCTAAACTAAGATCCTTAACTAGGCCTGGCAAAGGACTATGAAAGAATGCATAGTTGTGGATGTGCATGCATGAACACATAGTGTAAAGAATCTGTCATCATAGTCCTGTTGTGCACAGTGGGTCTTAGTGACCTGCTGGGAA